ACAACATCTCTCTTCAACCATATTAAAGGCATTTCTAAAATCAAGTTTGACAACGGCCTTGTCTTCCGGTAGGTCCCTGATGTAGGCTCTTGCTGCACGAGCTGCGGCTTTCCGCCTTGAGAGCCCCCAAAGCCCATTGGTGTACTGGAGTAAATTGACGCTTCTAGGGAAATGTTTTTTTACGCTGCTTTGGGGAAAGGACGGCGAAAAGGGGTTACCCCAGCAATGGGTATTCTGTTTGGAAATTTTAAAATCCATCTACCAACTTTTCCAGTTATTCTTTTATCACGCATTTTGTGCGTTATTACACCATGGTCACACTTGTCAAAGGCTTTTGCAAAGTCTGTGCATACTACATCTACCTTTTGTTTGTCTTCTAGAGCATCCATGACCTTGTCATAGTGGTTCAGTAGTTGGAACAAACAGGAGCGCCCTGCAGTAAACCCATGTTGCCCTGGGTTGTAATAAATATCTGTCAGTGAATTAACAGTAGTGAGGACGTGATCCGTCAATTGACAGTCGGACGCTCTACCACCTACACTAACCCAGGCCTCTAATAGGTAGGAATTCGAATTAATACTGTATTATATTCCGTCAGAGGCACCAAATGTCACACATCTGAACTCCTTCCCTCGGCCCAAGAGCTTTAGTAGTAATTCTGTTATTACCCTCCTCAAAACCACATCGTCTAGGAACTCAAATTATGTTTCGATTTCTTCCTATTAGAGGCCCAGGTAGTCGAAACGGTAGAGCATTGCGCTGCCAATTTACGGAAGGCGTTTTGAGCCCCTCTTCTACCTTTGTTATATATTATATATATTATATATATTATATATATATATATATTTATATTATATATTATATATATATTTATATATATAATGTATATATTATATATATATATATATATATATATATATATATATATATATATATATATTTATATATATATATATAGTAGGTTGGTAGACAGCAACCACCCAGGGAAGTACTACCGTCCTGCCAGATGGCTGTGAAACAGAAACCTGTAACTGTTTTACATGATGGTAGGATTGCTGGTTTCTTTTTCTGTCTCATAAACACGCTAGATAACAGGGATATCTTGATACTCCTGCTTACACTTTGGTCACACTTCACAGACACGCACATGCATATATATATATATATATATACACATACATCTAGGTTTTTCTCCTTTTTCTAAATAGCTCTTGTTCTTCTTTATTTCTTCTATTGTCCATGGGGAAGTGGAAAAGAATCTTTCCTCCGTAAGCCATGCGTGTCGTATGAGGCGACTAAAATGCCGGGAGCAATGGGCTAGTAACCCCTTCTCCTGTAGACATTTACTAAAAAAGAGAAGAAGAAAAACTTTATAAAACTGGGATGCTTGAATGTGCGTGGATGTAGTGCGGATGACAAGAAACAGATGATTGCTGATGTTAAGAATGAAAAGAAGTTGGATGTCCTGGCCCTAAGCGAAACAAAGCTGAAGGGGGTAGGGGAGTTTCGGTGGGGGAAATAAATGGGATTAAATCTGGAGTATCTGAGAGAGTTAGAGCAAAGGAAGGGGTAGCAGTAATGTTGAAGGATCAGTTATGGAAGGAGAAAAGAGAATATGAATGTGTAAATTCAAGAATTGTGTGGATTAAAGTAAAGGTTGGATGCGAGAAGTGGGTCATAATAAGCGTGTATGCACCTGGAGAAGAGAGGAATGTAGAGGAGAGAGAGAGATTTTGGGAGATGTTAAGTGAATGTATAGGAGCCTTTGAACCAAGTGAGAGAGTAATTGTGGTAGGGGACCTGAATGTTAAAGTAGGAGAAATTTTAGAGAGGGTGTGGTAGGTAAGTTTGGGGTGCCAGGTGTAAATGATAATGGGAGCCCTTTGATTGAACTTTGATATAGAAAGGGGTTTAGTTATAGGTAATACATATTTTAAGAAAAAGAGGATAAATAAGCATACAAGATATGATGTAGGGCGAAATGACAGTAGTTTGTTGGATTATGTATTGGTAGATAAAAGACTGTTGAGTAGACTTCAGGATGTACATGTTTATAGAGGGGCCACAGATATATCAGATCACTTTCTAGTTGTAGCTACACTGAGAGTAAAAGGTAGATGGGATACAAGGAGAATAGAAGCATCAGGGAAGAGAGAGGTGAAGGTTTATAAACTAAAAGAGGAGGCAGTTAGGGTAAGATGTAAACAGCTATTGGAGGATAGATGGGCTAATGAGAGCATAGGCAATGGGGTCGAAGAGGTATGGGGTAGGTTTAAAAATGTAGTGTTAGAGTGTTCAGCAGAAGTTTGTGGTTACAGGAAAGTGGGTGCGGGAGGGAAGAGGAGCGATTGGTGGAATGATGATGTAAAGAGAGTAGCAAGGGAGAAAAAGTTAGCATATGAGAAGTTTTTACAAAGTAGAAGTGATGCAAGGAGGGAAGAGTATATGGAGAGAAAGAGAGAGGTTAAGAGAGTGGTGAAGCAGTGTAAAAAGAGAGCAAATGAGAGAGTGGGTGAGATGTTATCAACAAATTTTGTTGAAAATAAGAAAAAGTTTTGGAGTGAGATTAACAAGTTGAGGAAGCCTAAAGAACAAATGGATTTGTCAGTTAAAAATAGGAGAGGAGAGTTATTAAATGGAGAGTTAGAGGTATTGGGAAGATGGAGGGAATATTTTGAGGAATTGTTAAATGTTGATGAAGTTAGGGAAGCTGTGATTTCGTGTATAGGGCAAGGAGGAATAACATCTTGTAGGAGTGAGGAAGAGCCAGTTGTGAGTGTGGGGAAGTTCGTGAGGCAGTAGGTAAAATGAAAGGGGGTAAGGCAGCCGGGATTGATGGGATAAAGATAGAAATGTTAAAAGCAGGTGGGGATACAGTTTTGGAGTGGTTGGTGCAATTATTTAATAAATGTATGGAAGAGGGTAAGGTACCTTGAGATTGGCAGAGAGCATGCATAGTTCCTTTGTATAAAGGCAAAGGGGACAAAAGAGAGTGCAAAAATTATAGGGGGATAAGTCTGTTGAGTATACCTGGTAAAGTGTTATGGTAGAGTTATTATTGAAAGAATTAAGAGTAAGACAGAAAATAGGATAGCAGATGAACAAGGAGGCTTTAGGAAAGGTAGGGGGAGTGTGGACCAGGTGTTTACAGTGAAACATATAAGTGAACAGTATTTAGATAAGGCTAAAGAGGTCTTTGTGGCATTTACGGATTTGGAAAAGGCGTATGACAGGGTGGATAGGGGGACAATGTGGCAGATGTTGCAGGTGTATGGTGTGGGAGGTAGGTTACTGAAAGCAGTGAAGAGTTTTTACGAGGATAGTGAGGCTCAAGTTAGAGTATGTAGGAAAGAGAGAAATTATTTCCCAGTAAAAGTAGGTCTTAGACAAGGATGTGTGATGTCACCGTGGTTGTTTAATATATTTATAGATGGGGTTGTAAGAAAAGTAAATGCGAGGGTCTTGTCAAGAGGCGTGGAGTTAAAAGATAAAGAATCACACATAAAGTGGGAGTTGTCACAGTTGCTCTTTGCTGATGACACTGTGCTCTTGGGAGATTCTGAAGAGAAGTTGCAGAGATTGGTGGATGAATTTGGTAGGGTATGCAAAAGAAGAAAATTAAAAGTGAATACAGGAAAGAGTAAGGTTATGAGGATAACAAAAATATTAGGTGATGAAAGATTGGATATCAGATTGGAGGGAGAGAGTATGGAGGAGGTGAATGTATTCAGATATTTGGGAGTGGATGTGTCAGCAGATGGGTCTATGAAAGATGAGGTGAATCATAGAATTGATGAGGGGAAAAGGGTGAGTGGTGCACTTAGGAGTCTGTGGAGACAAAGAACTTTGTCCTTGGAGGCAAAGAGGGGAATGTATGAGAGTATAGTTTTACCAACGCTCTTATATGGGTGTGAAGCATGGGTGATGAATGTTGCAGCGAGGAGAAGGCTGGAGGCAGTGGAGATGTCATGTCTGAGGGCAATGTGTGGTGTGAATATAATGCAGAGAATTCGTAGTTTGGAAGTTAGGAGGAGGTGCGGGATTACCAAAACTGTTGTCCAGAGGGCTGAGGAAGGGTTGTTGAGGTGGTTCGGACATGTAGAGAGAATGGAGCGAAACAGAATGACTTCAAGAGTGTATCAGTCTGTAGTGGAAGGAAGGCAGGGTAGGGGTCGGCCTAGGAAAGGTTGGAGGGAGGGGGTAAAGGAGGTTTTGTGTGCGAGGGGCTTGGACTTCCAGCAGGCATGGGCGTGAGCGTGTTTGATAGGAGTGAATGGAGACAAATGGTTTTTAATACTTGACGTGCTGTTGGAGTGTGAGCAAAGTAACATTTATGAAGGGGTTCAGGGAAACCGGCAGGCCGGATTTGAGTCCTGGAGATGGGAAGTACAGTGCCTGCACTCTGAAGGAGGGGTGTTAATGTTGCAGTTTAAAAACTGTAGTGTAAAGCACCCTTCTGGCAAGACAGTGATGGAGTGAATGATGGTGAAAGTTTTTCTTTTTCGGGCCACCCTGCCTTGGTGGGAATCGGCCAGTGTGATAATAAAAAATATATATATATTATATATATATATATTATATATATATATTATATATATATATATATATATATATATATATATATATATATATATATATATATATATATATATATATATATATATCTTAATTTTATATTCCTTCTAACATTCTTAGTTACTGCAAAAATTTATACTTTTGAGTTTGTCAAATCAATGCTTGACGGATAATCCAGGTCAACAAACTCTGGCTATGAAGCGCCTTATGTATACTCTAAGCTCAGCTGAAAATATGTTAGATATAGTTCGTGAGGGCAGGTGCGTGTCGCTAGTTAAGTTGAGGTGTTGAGAAGAGCATCCTCATTATCAAACTGTTGCTGGCATGACGTACTGGTGGTGTGGCAGGCTCCTGGGCCCTCACCCCTGCCCCTCACACACGTGAAGGGGCGTCCAGGTGAGGGATGAATGGTGCTGCAGGGGTGAAGGGCAGACAAGAGCATGTGTAATAACCATCAGGGTGGCCCTGGGTGCGCGCGCAGCTGCTGGCGCACGACATAGCCCTGTCACCACGCAGGAAGGTGCTCGCAACCGTCCCACTGCTGGACATACATATCCAGCCCAGTCTCTTGTCCTCTGTGTGTCTCTCTCTACCCCACCTGTGCCCAGTCTCACCCTTCAACACGGCTACCTCGTCATAGCATGGAAGGTAAGCCTTTGGATGGCCGTGTTTGGTATCAGTAAAGGGAAATAATCAATGTGTGAGGGGCGGGAGGGAGGGGAGAGAGCAGCTGATAGCGTCGTCCAGAGTGTTAGCCTCCCCTCGCTGCCCTCCGCCCACCTCCTCATCACATACATTGATGCACCTCACATATAGTCCTAAGGTCACATCATGAATCCAGTGGCATAGCGCTACACTAGTAGTAACATCAGAGCTGCAGGGCCTCTCAATATATGCAGCACAGGTGGGCTAGGCCGTGTCAAGCACTCGCAGATTTATTTTCTTCATGTAACAGGAAATGTGCAATAAATAGTTTACTCCCATGTTTGCTGAAAGAATGAAATTTCATTTAATGGGCTTCAGTGACAGTTAAAGTATTTTATTTAGCGAACCCATAAAATTACGTGGTATATCATTAAGATGCAAGAGCGCCGTGTTCAGCGCAATTAAATGCGCTGCAGAACATACAGAGGAGAATGAAGTTATTCCCCTGTATGAGGAATATTTCCCATGGAGAAAGATTGAGAACTCTGAGCCTAGACTCTTGAAAGGTATAGAAAAAGGGGTACGTGGTTGAGGTGTACCTGTGGAAGGCAGATATAAATCAAGGGGATAAATAAAGTAAGAAAACGATATAACCAAACACCTGTACTTGTGACCGGTTTTGAGAGCCAACTTACAAGACAGGAATCGTAAAGTGTATTAATGTTGAACCTGATTACGAATGTAAGCCATCACTGATTTTGGCAGCGAAGCCGTCGATAAATGAAGAGACTACGAAACTGTCATTAAAGCAACAATGGGTAGCTTTTAAAATGGGTTAAAGACTAGGTGGTTGACTGTGAGTGGGACCCATCCAGCTGGGTCAGAAGGACTAGATGTTAGCTCCTATGTTTATGTATATATTTGCACTAATACTACAAGACTAGTAAATTTTATGATGATAATGGAAAAAACCCAAATTACCAAAGCTAATGAAGACTGGCGATAAATTACATTGATGTATTTAAAAAATGTACCTGGTAGGGTGTGTATGACGTGATGTGGCTGTTGCAAGTGTATGAGTTTGGTGGCAAGTTGCTGAAGGATTAGAAGTGTTTATGGTAAGAGTGAAGATCAGATTGTGGTGTATAAGTGGAATATTTTCCAGCAAAATTAGACTATAGACAGGGATGTATGATGCTACTGTAGTTGTTCAATGTATTTTAAGATTTGTTGCCGTGAGTGCTGGTGTTAGGGAAGAGGTGGGGTTAAAAGACACTAAATGTGATACAACTTGAGAGTTGTCACTGTTGCTCTTTCCTGAAGATACAGTAATTTTCGGAGATTTGGCAAAGTTCAAAGGTCAAAAGTGAATTCAGGAAGGTGTAAGGTTATTGTAAAATATAAGGAATGGAGGATTTTGTTAAAGTGGTTAACAAGGAGTATGGAGATATTGAAGATCCTTATATATTGTTAAGAGTGGACGTTACAGCAGGTGGGGCTATTAATCACCAGATAAACCATACACTCCTCGAGTTGAAAAGTAGTTGGAATAGTGAATAATCTGTAAAAAAAAAAGTTCATAAATGAATTTAGAAATGGGAATGTGTCCCAGATATACCCCTCACACACTGTGTCCCAGATATACCCCTCACACACTGTGTCCCAGATATACCCCTCACACACTGTGTCCCAGATATACCCCTCACACACTGTGTCCCAGATATACCCCTCACACACTGTGTCCCAGATATACCCCTCACACACTGCGTCCCAGATATACCCCTCACACACTGTGTCCCAGATATACCCCTCACACACTGTGTCCCAGATATACCCCTCACACACTGTGTCCCAGATATACCCCTCACACACTGTGTCCCAGATATACCCCTCACACACTGTGTCCCAGATATACCCCTCACACACTGTGTCCCAGATATATCCCTCACATACTGTGTCCCAGATATACCCCTCACACACTGTGTCCCAGATATACCCCTCACACACTGTGTCCCAGATATACCCCTCACACACTGTGTCCCAGATATACTCCTCACACACTGTGTCCCAGATATACTCCTCACACACTGTCCCAGATATACCCCTCACACACTGTGTCCCAGATATACCCCTCACACACTGTGTCCCAGATATACTCCTCACACACTGTGTCCCAGATATACCCCTCACACACTGTGTCCCAGATATACCCCTCACACACTGTGTCCCAGATATACTCCTCACACACTGTCCCAGATATACCCCTCACACTGTATAATGCGTCCCAGATATACCCCTCACACATTGTGTCCCAGATATACCCCTCATACTATAATGTGTCCCAGATATACCCCTCACACACTGTATAATGCGTCCCAGATATATCTTTCACACACTGTGTCCAAGATATACCCCTCACGCACTGTATAATGTGTTATAGATATACCTTTCACACACATTGTGTCCAAGATATACCCCTCACACACTGTATAATGTGTCTCACATATACCCTTCACACAGTGTGTCCCAGATATACCGCTCACACACTGTATAATGTGTCCCAAATATACCCCTCACAAACACTGTATGTGTCCCAGATATACCCCTCACACACTCTATCCCAGATATACCCCTCACACATACTGTATAGTGTGTCCCAGATATACTCTTCACACACTGTGTCTAAGATATACCCTTCACACACTGTGTCTAAGATATACCCTTCACACACTGTGTCTAAGATATACCCTTCACACACTGTGTCTAAGATATACCCTTCACACACTGTGTCTAAGATATATCCCTCACACACTGTGTCTAAGATATATCCCTCACACACTGTGTCTAAGATATAACCTTCACTCACTGTGTCTAAGATATACCCTTCACACACTGTGTCTAAGATATACCCTTCACACACTGTGTCTAAGATATATCCCTCACACACTGTGTCTAAGATATATCCCTCACACACTGTGTCTAAGATATACCCTTCACACACTGTGTCTAAGATATACCCTTCACACACTGTGTCTAAGATATACCCTTCACACACTGTGCCTAAGATATATCCCTCACACACTGTGTCTAAGATATATCCCTCACACACTGTGTCTAAGATATATCCCTCACACACTGTGTCTAAGATATATCCCTCACACACTGTGTCTAAGATATAACCTTCACACACTGTGTCTAAGATATATCCCTCACACACTGTGTCTAAGATATATCCCTCACACACTGTGTCTAAGATATACCCTTCACACACTGTGTCTAAGATATATCCCTCACACACTGTGTCTAAGATATATCCCTCACACACTGTGTCTAAAATATATCCCTCACACACTGTGTCTCAGATATAACCTTCACACACTGTGTCTAAGATATATCCCTCACACACTGTGTCTAAGATATAACCTTCACACACTGTGTCTAAGATATATCCCTCACACACTGTGTCTAAGATATATCCCTCACACACTGTGTCTAAGATATAACCTTCACACACTGTGTCTAAGATATATCCCTCACACACTGTGTCTAAGATATATCCCTCACACACTGTGTAATCAATGGCTTTCTAAATAGCTTCTTTTTTGTAACCACTTTCAACTAATTGCGTTTGTATCTGTTGTAAGGTCTTACTTATACAACACTTTTATGCAGGTGTGAAGCATTGTCTTTAAAAGTTGGAACAAAGTGAAGAAGGCTGGAGACAGTGTGGTCTTCAGTGTGTGGTGCACAGTCCATGATCACTCTTCAATCTTAACACACATACAGAAGTGTCGACACAGTTATATTCTAATTGGTCACCCTTTTCATGTCCATTCACAAATTTATTTCCACAGATTCCTCAACTCTTCGGCAACTTTCTTCTATCACAGGTTTTGTGATTCACTTTATGTTTCTCAGAGCAACATCTGCTGACACACTCGATCACATCTTGCACTGCTACTTCAGACATCATTTATTCATTATTATTTTCGGAGTTAACTCACTCCATCTCTGTACAAAATCGAAGAAAATAATATATAACAATCAAATGTAATTATATGCTAAACATCAAATTAACATAAGTGATAAAAGCATATGAATACATTCACTTTACCTACAAACAACCAATTTTTTATTCTCAATACTTCTCTCTCCTTGTATCACCTTAGTCTTTTGTGTTCACTTCCCCAACTTTCTTCTTGTATACATCATTCCAACTTCTGCAGGTTCTCTTCTGAATCTTCATTAGCACAGTGTCACTCGCTAACACCAATTATGATATTTGAATTTTATGTTTAATTTGTTTTAAATGTCGCACTTCTCCTCAACACTACCGTTCACTTCCCTTACAAATTCATCTTTCAAAACATTAAGCAGTTACGATGACGTTATTCTTGTTTTGCAACATATTTTCCTTCTAATACCCAGCTTTACTCAGACTATGGTGCACGCACCACTAGGAGTGCGCCAATAGGTTTTAAAGGGCTCACAGAACTGTGCCAGATCATCTTACAAAACATGCGAAATATATGAAAGCAGCGAAATGAATTTCAGCTAACTCGGGGCGACGATTATATCAAGAACAATGCTAGGTGCTAGGTGCTAGGTGTTAGGTGCTAGGTGCTAGGCAACTAAACTAAACAAGAGCCGCATTCCAGTAAAACGTATCTTATCAATACATTACCCTGCATCGCTGTATCACACGACACCTTCAACATCTCTCCATGAATGGAAATAAATGGTATCAAATACCGACACAGTGGAAATATAAACACATATGCAGTATAATGTGATCCTTTATTGACAACGTTTCACCCACACAGTGGGCTTTTTCAAGTCACACACAGATCTACCTGGGGTGGAAGGTACGGGAGTATTTATAGTCAGAATGTTGAGGTCAGGTGGAGAATGCTGCATCTGATGATCTACCGGGTGGAGTTATAGAGTCTTGGGTAGCTTGGCAGGGGTATTGGACAAGTTGTGAGTAGACCTTCTGCAGTGTT